ATATCCTAACTATTCTAGCACTAAGACTGATGTCAAGGAATCACTCTGATATATCCTAACTATTCTAGCACTAAGACTGATGTCAAGGAATCACTCTGATATATCCTAACTATTCTAGCACTAAGACTGATGTCAAGGAATCACTTTGATATATCCTAACCTTTCTAGCACTAAGACTGAGACTTTTTTGTATAGGTGTAACATGGTTATAATTCTTTTTCAGTCACTTAACTTGCAGATGGACCGTGGTACATGCACACGGTTACTTATGTAAACCCACAGAGATATATATTCACGATTTACATTTAGAGACCTGCTGCGACCACCTTACGATATATGATGGTAAGTTTTGATGTAGTATCACAACCAAAATGTCGGCTTCAAGCATACTTTTTGTTTTTCGGTTGAAACATGGATAGCTAGTAAATAAACTAGATGTGTATGTTTCAATTTAAAGTGAATTTTTATTTCAAATGTTGAATTTTCCTCCTAGAAATCTAAATATTGTAGGAAACCTCATGATAACGTCATCAGCATTGTGACATTTGTTATTTGTCTGTTTAGGTACATGCCACTAATGCAATTGCATGTAAATAAATGTACTCTCACAATGATTTGACCTTTCAGACAATTTTAACTAGATAGTATAAATCATAACAAAATATACTACTTTATAATAAATGCATGTCGTAAGCATAAGTCATGTTATGAATCGATTTTACGAAAAAGATATGAGTATAACTAAGTTTTCAAGAGGTAATCATTTTCCATCAAATTACATATTATGCAACATTATTCACTTAATCAGATACTTTTATAGCTCCTTTATCCCTTTGAGTTTTTTTCATTACAGATGTATATATTTGTTTAATTTATTAAGTTCATCTCTCTTCAGGTCCAACCGAGTCTGCCCGGATACTAGTCCGGCTTAGCGGAACCCCGCCGCCACAACTGATCAAAGCGACAGGAAACAATACCCTCATCAAGTTTACGACAGACAGTTCGGCGACAGGTCCAGGCTTTAAGCTGTCCTACAAGCACACCAAGGGTATTGCGATATGACAACACAATATTAAAACCACATGTACATTTCTTTTGCAAATACTGCTTGTTATGCTCCATACTAATATTAATAATAATTCGAGGTTTTTTATATATCGCTTTGTCATTACCTAGTTCGAAGGCCGTCTCAAAGCGGTTCACGATATACTATTTGTGGTTACAGGGCCTTTGCAACCAGCCAATATCTTTCTTAACTCCCTTGGGAGCATACAGCCGGTGCTGCCATTTCGGCACTCACAGCTAGCGATCAAAAATTCTAGTACTACTTAACCCCATACTCATTTACAGCTGAGTAGAATGGAACATGCGGAGTAAAGTATCTTGTTCAAAGATACAACACAATACCGTGACGTGACTCAAACCCGCAATCATTCGGTCACGAGCCCGGCGTCCTACCACTAGACTACGGTGCCTCCCATAATGAATAAAAACAATTTTGTGCAAAGCATTAATACCTGTTGAATATAATTGTTATTCCATTTTTAATTTGAGTGTTAATTTAAGGAAAACTCTACAACGGTGTAATAAGGAAATATCTGTAATTAATATCGATTGGCATGAAAAGGCACCAAGAAGAACTGATGAGACAGTTTTTGTATATCAACTTTAAAACCATTTTTTCGCACATTTAAGGTTTACTGGAATAAACCACCGTGTTACGATGGAAATTTCCTATTGATTTCACGAGTTGTATTTTTTTACGGAGAAAAATGTATAATTACGGAAAAAACAACGTTTGAAGTTCTGTACGAATCTCTAAAATTTCCGGAGAATCATTTTTGCCTGACCACATCTGGCACTTAAATATGCGTCTCCAATCGAATCCAGGTTATCAGATTCGACTTTGAAAGACTCTAAAAGACCCTATGTAACTTTAATAAACTCTACCAGAAAATAATCTCGAGGAGTCCATTATGGTCTACAGTGTTGAAAGGGTTAAACAGGCAGACTAAACTGGTAATTAGCTCCTGATTATCCTCAATATATATGCGCTAAAAATGCCTGAAAAATCAGAATTCATGATATTAAGCTGATTATTATTATAAAAAAGCTGCTTTTATGAAGAATTTATTATATAAATAAGTGGTATATTTTTGTTTCAATCCCAGGATGAAGTTCAATCACAAATCAGAACAAACGTATTTTATGAATTATAGATAGTATGTAAATGTAACTGGTATGCATATTTTGTATTCATAAAATCAACACGTCCTAATAATCAAATTGATCATACTGATTGCATTATACACATGGGGGCACGACCCTCACTGACCCCAATAAACCTTCAATGACCCAAATAAACCTTCAATAACCCCAGTAAACCTTCAATGACCCCAGTAAACCTTCAATGACCCCAATAAACCTTCAATGACCCAAATAAACCTTCAATAACCCCAGTAAACCTTCAATGACCCCAGTAAACCTTCAATGACCCCAATAAACCTTCAATGACCCAAATAAACCTTCAATAACCCCAGTAAACCTTCAATGACCCCAGTAAACCTTCAATGACCCCAATAAACCTTCAATGACCCAAATAAACCTTCAATAACCCCAGTAAACCTTCAATGACCCCAGTAAACCTTCAATGACCCCAATAAACTTTCAATGACCTTAATAAACCCTCAATTACCCAAATAAACCTTCAATGACCCCAATAAACCTTCAATGACCTAAATAAACCTTCAATGACCCCAGTAAACCTTCATGACCCCAATAACCCTTTAATGACCCCAATAAACCTTCAATGGCCCCAACAACCCCTCCATGACCCAATAAACCTTCAATGACCGCAGTAGACCTTCAATGACCCTAATAAACCTTCAATGAGCCCGGTAAACCTTCAATGAGACCAATAAACATTCAATGTCCCCAGTAAACCTGCAATGACCCCAATACATCTTCAATGACCCCAATAAATCTTCAATGACCCCAATAAACCTTCAATGACCCAATAAACCTTCAATGACCCCAATGAACCCTAAATAACAACAATAAACCTTAAATGACCCTAATAAATCATCAATGACCCCAATAAATATCCAACGACCCCAATAAACCTTTAATTACCCCAATAAACCTTCAGTGACCCCAATAAACCAGCAAAGACCCCAATAAACCTTCAATGACCCAAATAAACCTTCAATGACCCAAATAAACCTTCAATGACCCTAACATACCTTCAATGACCCAAATGAACCTTCAATGACCCCACTTAACCTTCAATGATCCCAATAAACCTTTAATGGCCCCAGTAAACCATCAATGACCCCAATAAACATTCAACGATCGTAAAAAACTTTCAATGACCCCAATAAACCATGAATGACCCAAATAACCCCTCCATAATCCCAAGAAACCTTCAATGACGCCAATAAACATTCAATGATCCCAATAAACCTTCAATGACCCCAATAAACCCTCAATGATCCCAATACACTTTCAATGACCTTAATAAACCCCCAATTACCCAAATAAACCTTCAATGACCCCAATAAACCTTCAATGACCCCAATAAACCTTCAATGACCCAAATAAACCTTCAATGACCCCAGTAAACCTTCAATGACCCCAATAACCCTTTAATGACCCCAATAAACCTCCAATGACCCCAGTAAACCTTCAATAACCCAAATAAACCTTCAATAACCCCAATAAACCTTCAATGACCCCAATAAACCTTTAATGACTCAAGTAAACCTTCAATGTCCCCAGTTAACCTTCAATGACCACAGTAAACCTTCAATGTCACCCAGTAAACCTTCAATGACCCCAGTAAACCTTTAATGACCCCAATAAACCTCCAATGACCCCAGGAAAACCTTCAATAACCCAAATAAACCTTCAATTACCCCAATAAACCTTCAATGACCCCAATAAACCTTTAATGACTTCAGTAAACCTTCAATGTCCCCAGTTAACCTTCAATGACCCCAGTAAACCTTCAATGTCCCCAATAAACCTTCAATGACCCCAGTAAACCTGAATATGCTTAATATAACAGAACGTGTTGGAGAGAAGTCGGTGATTATCAAAGCTACATTGATGACGTCATTATGAATTAAAATTTAATTAATGCCTCAAAAAACAACCTCACATTTTATTTCAGGGTTTGACGTTATACATATTTTTTTCATTTTCAAGCTACGCCGTCGCTTTCTAAGATGGTCACAGTGACAAAAACAGAACTCGTTGTAGAAATGTATGTGGATTTCGTATCATGCTTTCCCTACCGGTTAGTGCACTGGAGAAATGGTGATATTTCAATTCAGCAAGATGAAAGACACAACCTAACCGTGACCCCCGTCAGGGTCACCAGTGAGTATCAACCTGATGTCACGCTTGAAGGGTTCAGAGCCACACTCAGAATCCAGGACCCAGAATTACAGGACTTTGGGTTGTACAGGGTGACTGTCGGAAATTCAGAAGGCATAAGCGAAAGTTCAGTGTTCCTAGATAGAGCAACATCGGGTAAGGACAATGCATTTAATCATTATTATTAGATAGTACTGTTTGGGTGTCAAGTACATGTACATTTTTACTACTCTCATTTATAGATAAAATCATGTTTAACATTAATTTTGCCAGTGACATACATAAAGATAACTAAATAACAATTTCTCCTAGTCATAGTTTGGTGTACATAATTGTTTAATTTTTCATTTTTTCGAAGTGCGATTTGTTTTTTATATCTACCTGCAATTTGTATTATGCTTCCACAAACAAATTTGTATTTGTCTGTTAAAGATATTTTGTTTTTATTTTCAAATATATACCAACTTTTGCAACACATGTACAACAGTGTTAATTTTGGTAATGTGATATGATATTTACCGGAATTTTAGTCAAACTCAGTGACACACATTTCAATAAGAGTTTTATCAATGTTTACCTTTGATCACATGCATTTTGTGTATTTTGTTTATATATTTATTTATTCTAATATTATATATTATTATTAATTTATTCTACACACAATACATGTTTTCGGCAAGTAATATTGTCATATTGCACTTGTATCTCATAATTCCTGCAAAGGTGTTTTATTTATCAGTTATTTATTTATATATTTCGTTTATTTTGTTATACACACGATGCAATTTTTCACAATGAAATATTGTCATATTGTGGTGTTTTTTTGTGTTTTTTTATAATTCAAACAATATGCTATTCCGGACTAGCTCGATTGTTTTATTTTGCATACAATATCTTTTTACAATTCCCACTTTGCACAACTATAGAGTATCACCACAAGAAACTGTTTCGTAGCATAAAATAAAAAATAAACGCTGTTTGACTTTATTTTTTCCAGACAATATATTTTGATAATTATTTTCTATGTTCAGCGCTATTTACATTGAAAAGGTAGATGCTTCCTTATTTAGCAGTTGTAGTGATAATAAAATAAATATACTTTTCCGGACGAGCTATATTTGTTATATCTTTTTTTTAGTTCCCACTTTTCACAGCTATAGTTTATCATCCCAAGATGCTACTATCACGGTGACTTTTTCCTCCGACCCAAACTTTCAGGTAATGCCATGTTAATATTGAATCCTTTATAACTGAATATAAATAATGTATAGCAAAGCAGCGAATACACCAGAAATCCAAAAGAAAGACAAAACAAAATAAGGATATATATGATATGGACGATATTAATTATAGTTGATGCATGTACTACATTACAGAGCGGAAACCTCACGCTTACTTGTTATAATTATGATATTTAACACACTGATGTTACATTTATCACAGATATCTGGTCCCTTTAACGGCAGACTCATTGCTGTTACTGCTTTAGGTTTAATGGTAATTAATTGAAGTCAATGCGCATGTTTCATCATAGCACGGATACGTCACACTTACCTGTGATATTTTATATGATTTATATCACAATGTGATTACGTTTATCACATATATGTGGTCTATTAAAACACCAATGTATTTTGATTGTTATTACCGGTATGGGTTAAATGGTAATTAATTGTAATTAAATAACGTGCAACATCATAGCGACGATACGTCACACTTACATGATATAATATATATGATATATATATCACATCCAGTTCTTTAACACGACATTATTATTGTCGTTTCTGCTTAAGGTTGAATGGTACAAGATCCAACGCATCCTTACCGCTGAGAGTAACGTTGATATTACAACACATCGTGATGACAATGCACTAGAAACCGAGGCCACATACACAACCCTCCTGAAGTATGGAACCCCCACCGAACCCAACTACGGGAAGTATATGTGTGTCCTCAGGAACAATAATGGTACAACAGAAGTCTTCATCGATATGGGATTTCCTGAAACAGGTATTATTATTATTATTATTGGATTAGTTACTGCCCATCAGCACCAAAGAGGTCATTAGGGCAACAGGTAGCCTACCTTAAGACTTAATAAGTCAAATTCGGCAAGTTCAGTAATAAGGATGAACGCCAATGTCATTTCATTTGTATTTCTCGCGGTGTTTACGGTTTTGACCTTGAAGAATGATCTCTGCAGGCTTTCTGATTAAGCGGGCAATGTGACGAAGTTATGTTTTCCAAAAAGCTATAAAAGTGAGCCTATGCGATATCTTTCAAATCCAAAATCTTATTCATCTTCAATTATAAACAAACGCACAACAAAATATAGAAACTTTCCAGTTTTATCATCAAACGTATGCATGTAAAGTTCAGCTTTTACTAAATGATATATCTCCCATGTGTAGTACTAAGTGGAATACTGGGGGTCACCATGACACTAAATTGATCAAGGATATAAAACAACTCACAATTGATTCCTTATCAAAAACATCGATTATTAAAATTGTTACATAGCCAAGTATGTTAAGGTAAGAACTACATGGAACTATTGTTTGAGTTGCGGGCAGTGAGGTGAAGACATGTATGCCAAAAATCTATAGAATTGCGGGCAGTGTGGTGGCGGCATGTATGCCAAAAGGCTATAGAATTGCGGGTAGTGTGGTTAAGGCATGTATGCCAAAAGGCTATAGAATTGGGGGCAGTGTGGTGAAGGCATGTATGCAAAAAGCCTATAGAATTGCGGGCAGTGTGGTGAAGGCATGCATGCCAAAAGCCTATAGAATTGCGGGCAGTGTGGTTAAGGCATGCATGCCAAAAGGCTATAGAATTGCGAGCATTGTGGTTAAGGCATGTATGCCAAAAGGCTATAGAATTACGGGCAGTGTGGTGAAGGCATGTATGCCAAAAGGCTATAGAATTGCGGACAGTGTGGTTAAGGCATGTATGCCAAAAGGCTATAGAATTACGGGCAGTGTGGTTAAGGCATGTATGCTAAAAGGCTATAGAATTGCGGGCAGTGTGGTGAAGGCATGTATGCTAAAAGGCTATATCAATGATATGTAAAGTAAAACAGCTCACAATTCAACCAAAATCAAAGCACCGATTCTCACATCGTTACAGATAAGTACAGGTGAGAGCTGAAACAGCTAATATCAAGTAAATAATATGCAAAGTCTCAAGATGTGGAAGTCGACCTGTGCGTGGATAAGGGTCAATGTCACAAATAAAATGATCTAATGGGAAATAACATGATCAAAGAGTAAAATAGAACCACTTTTGCATATTACATACAAAACGACAAAACAAAGATACACATTTCCTAAATATAAGCTACGATCTGATAGGTATTGCACACTCTTCAGTTTCATATATGATAATTCTTCCGTAAAACCCCAATAAAATGTTTCAAATATCGCTTGTCATATTTAGTAAAGCATTGGTACATATCAAGAAATTAAATAATATAAAGATAAGAGAGGATCGAGAAATGACGCTGTCAAAAACCTGTCATTCGGTTAATTCACAAAACTTCTGTTTTACAACAGGTGTTCATAAAATAATCCATGCATTTGTGTAGGAACTTTATATATGTATGAAACTATAACATATTATTTAATCAAAAATAGATGAACAGTGGTACTCATTACCTGATAATAGAAATGGACATTTTAATGGCTCTTACTTTGCAATTCGCAAAGAAACTATATTATTATCTTTACGCAGAATATAGGAGCAAACATTCGCTTATTTCCTGTTAATAGGAATGGAAATTTTGAGTTCAAAATTGTGATAGTCATTTCTATCCTATATCAGTGTGTAACAAATCAGAACTTTATTTTCATCAGTGCAAACCCATCATGATGTTCTGTGAATTTGAAATGAGTTGAATGGGTTTTTTGTGATATATAATTAGTCAAATAATGAGTTTTGCTCTTTTGAGCTTAAATTTTGTTACAATTCGTCATGTACTTAGTTGTAAGGAACATCTATCTCGTCAGATCGAAGTCAAGTTTCTCATTACGTTGCAGATTAGAATGAAGAAATTCTATATACCGGGATATTTTTCGCCCTCTGCAATAAGGGTCAATTTATCATTACAATGAACATGAGTAAACCAATGTATAAGTTATAAGCGCAACCAATTTCGAAGCTATATCTTATCTTTCCAAACTCCAATCATGATGTTTTATTGGAATTTCAGCCAAGTGTTCTATTAATAAATATTTGTTTATATCACAGAACTTCCTCATTTGTTGGAGACAGCTGTTCAACAGAGTGATAAGTTTATCGTGCTAACAGTGAACTTTGACTCCAACATTGCATATCCAACGGCAACCTGGTACCATAACAATGATCAGTTGGGAACATCGGATAAATATGCTACAGAATTGAAATGGAAAAATATATCCAGTCAGGACTGGCTTCTTTATCATTATCCTCCTGTCCAAAATTCGACGAAGTTCGAATCTGTTGTGACCATGAATGTTTCAACTAACTTCCGGTACAAGTATCCGTCCATTGGTGGGAGTAGATCTTTTTCGCACCCTAACGCTAACTATACCGCGGTGTTGGCCATATACAACTTGACACAGGAGGACTTTGGTCTGTACAAGGTAGTTTTGGAGAATGGCGCTGGACTTTCTCGTAAAGTTATTGAAGTGACTGCACCAGAAGGTATTTACAAAGCATGCGTCAGAAAAAAATATATGGTATAAGGATTGAATTGTTAAAAACGTATTTCCAAATAACTTGCGTTTTTAAATACAAAATATCAAGGGTGTTGACTATATCAACAGAACAAATAGCCAAACGTACTTGCAGGGAAATCGTTTTAGAATGTAGCCATTACCAGGGTCAAGACACACTTTCAAACCAGATCAAAGAAAAATGAATTATACAATTATATGTATGGTTCTACTGACAGGGTACGGACGTATTATTTTGATTTTGAAATAATAATAGAAACATAAGATTCTTAAATAATGCGTCATGCCACGCGATTTATTTCGAAATCATTTTCAGAAACCGTTTTTTTTCTAACCATAATGGAAGTTTGGAGCTTTCAGGGGTTTGAAAAAGAGTAAATGAAGCGAAGAGTCGCTGACGTGTTTATTTAATCAGTAACCTGCTAAGGAAACTCTACTGTGACAACGTGGCAGCGATGCATCATTGAATTTACGTCTTTGTAGGTACGGCAAAGAAAACGTTTAGTATACAGGGTTAGGGTTAGGGTTTCACATTGTAGGTACGGCAAAGAAAAAGTTTAATATGCAGGGTTAGGGTTAGGGTTTAACATTATAGGTACGGCAAAGACATTGTAGGTACGGCAAAGAAAAAGTTTAATATACATTTAAAGTATGGGGTTGAGGGATATAGCAAGTTTCTGGTGACACCAGAAACTTGCTATATCCCTCAACCCCATACTTTAATTGTTTTATTATACCGATACACACTAGAGAGATAGTTTTAACTAGAAAATATTTGTAAACCATAAACTGTATAGCTTCACGTCCCAACTACCCCCTTGATGGCAATGGAGCCAAATGCTTCCGAGTTCGGTAGCAAGCTCCGTCCACCTCTCGCCTGATTGGCTCGGCGGAAATACTCGAGTGTAGGAGTGTTTAAGTTCCCAGACTAACACACGGGACTAAAACACAGTCAGGCAAAAGTGGGGATATATTCGATTTAACCAATTACTTTTATATAGAGTAAATAAAGTAGAGGTATACTTATAACAAATACTGCATATTATAACAAATGTTTTCTGTTTTAGTTTTCTATAACCACGTGTGTGATCAAGAGGATACCGTTCAACTGGTATGCCACGTCACTTCCTGTTCATCGGTCATTCAATCATGGATCCATTCCATTAATGATAGTGTTATTAGGACTTTTCAGGGTCATCAAAATGATACCACAAACACATTAACAATACCGACATGCATGCACGCGGATGCAGGCACGTACACTTGCGTGGCTACGGAAGAAGAAACCGGACGTGACGTAACGATTCATTACAATACGACAACACTCACAGTCAGAGGTAATCGACACTTCTTATAAAAGCAGCTTTATTAGCTTACGAGTTAATTGAAGTCTTTACATCTTGGATATACCTTTTCTAGGTTTATTTTGTTATTTGCGACAAGTAGGTCTAGCTTCAAGATATTTTAAATTACAAAAGTGCAAGCAAAACCGTCATGATTACCTACCCCATTGGAAAAGACTGAAGAGAGTCAAACCATGTGCTCCGGAAGGGTAAGCGTCTTCCGGTTCATCGAAAACACTCTCCAGGTAAATCAAAGTCAAACGTAATAGGCGTAATAACCTCGAAATTAGAACCGAGTTGAAAGAACACGTGTAAGCGTTGAAAAATATCTGTTAATCACACAAGATTATGATGGTGATCTATAGTCATGTTAATAATCTTTACAAATGTACTGTTTGTGGTGGTGCTTTGATAGAATAGAAGCGTAACCTATTGGGTTTTCTCGCACCTTCGTCAGGGATATCCCACGTGCAAGATTATCCCTCGCTCGTCATGTTATTTTCATACAACAATGTACATGTATTCATGAGCGCGCTAAAGCCAGTGATACACACGTACATTTTTTTTATTCTGTTCTGTCATTAAATATTTAGTTTAGATGTTGTATATTCTACACTTTGAAATACGTTTTCATCCTTGTAAGGATGGAATTTTAGGCGGAAGCATTCAATCTTAGTTTAAGTAGTAAAGAGGCAATATGAATTTGAGGGGTCGGACGGGTTACTTATAGAATATAGCGAAAATGAATAGTTTTTCAAACTGAATGTCGCGAGAAAAAATCAGTTCTATTTTCTAATGAGTCATGAGTGAGGAAACTTACAGTTGTTGTGGTAGAAATTATGTTTCTGATTAATTCAATAATAAAAACAAGCGAAGAATGACATCATGTAGCTTTAAACTTGGCACTTCCATAACATAGGCAATCACTACATCTGCTGATGTTTGTTTTCTCCCACCTAGGCAAATAGATAACACTTCACCCTATACCACCAGCCATTTAATCATGATGGATCCTGATCTACACGTGAGTAATGGGCGTTATATCAGTTTTCAGTTTTAGCGTTACAGTACGTTCAGTACTTTGCTTTATTGACAGTGTTTTGTATTCCAGCTGTCCCTGTCATACTGGCCAACTATGGGACTCTACAGAATGACCGATTGGAGATAGAAGTTCCCTTCTATTCATTTCCCTCTCACAGTCGCATCACGTGGCAACGAAACGGGGAATATCTGTTGTCATCCGGAAGTGACATCATCAGTGAGGAACCACGTTACCTTGACCTAACATTTCACGGAAAGGAACTCCAACGGGAAGGATATGTAACTAAGATAATCATACTTAGCCCTACAGCTGAAAAGTTTGGAACGTACAAAATTCAAATCACAAACGATGTGGGAACTTCTGAGGTATTCCTAGAGGTTACAAATCCAGATTATGGTGTGTATGAGTTTTTCCTTTCCTCAAACGCTTTTGTTATAAAGAAATACGGGGATTTATAAATATTTTGCCTAAATAAAACAATCTTTATTTGACCTTAGCTGTTGCGAGGACGTCGAATCTCATTCAAACAAACAAATAAAAGCGGTATAAAACTATTTTAACAAAATCATTTGTGAGGACGTCGAATCTCATAAAAACAAACAAATAAAAGCGGTATAAAAGTATCTTTACAAAATTACTTGGGTTAGGGTTAGCGTTAGGGTTTACATACAAACAAATAAAAGCGGTATAAAACTATCTTTACAAAATCATTTGTGAGGACGTCGAATCTCATAAAAACAAACAAATAAAAGCGGTATAAAAGTATCTTTACAAAATTACTTGGGTTATGGTTAGCGTTAGGGTTTACATACAAACAAATAAATAAAAGCGGTATAAAAGTATCTTTACAAAACTACTTGGGTTATGGTTAGCGTTAGGGTTTACATACAAACAAACAAATAAAAAAGGTATAAAAGTATCTTTACAAAATTACTTGTGAAAAAGGATATCAGACTATTCGGAATTTTGTTGAAATAGGGAAATTAACAAAAATGTAAAATGCGACAGGGCCTTACAAGAAATTCAAGGGTGGACATGCCATCACAACAATGACGTTCTTAACAATTGAGTTGTCCGATCAGCTATAGTTTTCTGGCCGGGCATTCCTACAAATGTATCAGAAACGAAATTAAGGGGAGGTAACTTTATGCTTTGAAAAACTACATAGGAATTATGTTGTGGTTTGTCTGCAGTGAGACAGGGATCCTTAAATGTTAGAATACAAAATACAGCAGATAATAAAAGTCAATCTGAAAACCTAGAGACCAAAATATTTCTTGAAAAAAATTGACGGGGGCATTGTCGAATAAATAATGTGGTATGATATAGCTAAATTATCATTTAAAACATTTTGTTGGATAACTTTCATTTTAATGTTCTCAAATCGGATTAAAGATGAAATGTTCCCTTTTGTTTTAATCATCCTTTACTATTCCATGTTTTGAATTCCTCAATATTATGATACCGGCTAGCAATAATATTAGAGAGAGAAAACGATTCAATAAAACGGAAAGTAATTTAATGTAAATTAGTTTGTAGTTCTATGTGTCTATTGTCTGACCACTGCAAGACTAAACTCATCATCACACACTATATATATTGACTGTTCGTATCAACTATACCACATCATATTAATATTTAGTTCATTGTAGTTAATCTGATAATAAATATTCAACATTATCAAATATATTTTTCGAAAAATCTTTATATAGAAAATAGATATAAAAAGCTTGACAGAGAAATGCCGACCATGTCATAAAAAGCCTGAACAGGTCTTAAAAGTAAGCCAGAGTGCAAAGTTGTGGAATGCCAACTTGCAGGAAAGCACTCGCTTTGAAAAGTACACACTTAACTAATTTCAGTGAAACATATTTCCTGTGTGTAGGTCTTGAGAGCTTAAAATACGCGAGTAAACTATCGTGCTAATTGATATATGTTAATTGTAAATCCTTTTTTTTTACATTAGCTAAACATACTATGTATCTGTTTTTATTACCAAACCCGGTTACTCGGTCCGAACATTTTTCAAGCTACCGGTTACTCAAATTCGTCCGGTTTGACAACGTTAATAAAAATTAAAAATAAATTGTTTGTAAAAGATATACATTGCAGTGGTTTTTTTCTGGGTTTTTTTTCCTGTTTTTTGTTTGTTTCCAATTTTAACACGAGACATAATAATAAATGCAATATTGAATGCATAAAACTTTTTCTCTTCTTTGGTTTTGCCTCTCAGCTTTGATGAGGTTTCATTACAAGTTAGATATTGAAATTATCAGCTTGATATTACCAATATCTTAACCAAATTGTAGGTGCAAATCGGTTGTGGTTTAATGTGTGCGCTTTTCTTACGTTGGTATTTTTGCACCATTGACTAATCAAAAAGATTCTTCCTAATTACTGCCTCAAAATCATTAATGTTTCTTGTCAGATCAGAGGAGTGTTAAATGAGTTGTTTTGGTACTTCTTTGGTTTTATTCTCTAAAATATTAAATTAACGTCACAACTGATAACAGCAGAATATGGTAGGGTTGCATTTTTAAGCAAATTCAAAATGGCACACACCCGATTTGATACCAGATTTTACACACTTTTCTATAATAATATACTTTGCTTTTTTAACGTTTTAATTAATTTGCTTGTCTAGCCGAACCAGTGATTTCTTATGACGTCATCGTGTCATATGAAGGAAATTCTGCTCTCTTAAATTTGACCTTCACCTCCTACTACCCTTACCTCAGTGTGAAGTGGTTCTTCAGAGGCGAGGAGGTACAGAAAAACCACCCAGCCAACAAGTTCTTAATCCAGACTGACCCCTCAAGAAACGAAACTGACCCACGTCCTGCAGTGCGAATAACTGATATGAAGTCTTCTATCCTGACCGTCATGAGCGTAACAGAAGAGGATTGTGGGAAATATCAAGCTATGGTTTCAAACGAGGCTGGTCAGGCGGTAATACCTGTGACTTTACATAAACAGGAATACGGTAAGTAAACAGCCGACAATGACGACAGATATTGGAACTACAGGGGTGTCAGCGTTTCAGTTGACAGATTTCGCGTTTTCATTCCGTTTTCATTCCATTCCATTCGCGTTTTCATTTCATTCCGTTCTTAAGATTCAATTCGTTCCGTTTCCGTCGCAGACTGTTTTTATCGTTCCGTTTTGCATCGTTCCATTGAAAACCCGCTCCACCCTAATCGTTCCGTTTCGCTCCGTCCCGTCGCCAAATCGAGATTTCGTTTGTTACGTTCTTGTTCCATTTCATTCCATCGGCTAGGCGTTGTATATTGACGTGAAACAAAATGGCGGTAGTAACAGAGGCAGCCTCAAAAACTTATCGACTCAGTTTTTTCAGACAACTCTACATGATTTTTCGATTTTTGTTGAACAATGCCTGTTATATTGAATTTCGTCGAATTTCAGGCTTAACGTACATTAATCGAACATACTTAATTCATACGAGTGTGACCACGGACTTAGATAGCGAAAGGTAACATTACCAGTGGTTATACGTTTGCTGTGACCCTTATCAGTATAACATGCATATGTGAATTTAGACATTTAAAATGAATGATGTAGGCCAAACGAACTGTGCGGCTGAAGTTGCAGGATATTACCATCTCGGGGGGTGGGGGGGGGGGGGGGTAGTATAATGGGGATTAATAATTAGCATCCTCCTTTTATCTCTATTTGGCAGACCCACTAGAAAGATTTTGATACCATTATTATCATATAGGCCTATACTTTTTTAATTAAAAACTAATCTGAACACCTTATTTTAGGTCCAAATATAGCTGTAATAAATTCTCAGGTCCCTGCATGTGCACAGCAGTTGTCAGTCAGAAGTTCTGTTAATAATAAATGTTAAAATAAAAAATACCTCTAATATTATGCTCTCAAGTACCAAGCATATAATTGTCATTGAGCAATTAGAGGTTTATTTTTCTTCACTCTTATTAAGAATTATTAACATAAATTCAGACTCGTTTGACCACATCATGATTATAAAAACCATCATAGTCAGTACAGTAAACCTAGTTCAGCAGATTCGATAAGGTCGGTCTGGAATTTCAACCTGACTTCTGAACTCTAGATGGGCACTCGGATTAATTGAGCTAACTGGTTGCCAGCGATCCACATAATTCAGTTCCGCTTACATACATTCCTCCCATAGTCTTTGACTCCGAGGACGTATACAAGATACTTATATGGATATTGCTAACAGACCAAGATTCAAACCTATGACCTTCAAACTGTTAGACATGACAATATTAACCAAAAGCTTTCTGGTCCCTGGTGATTGACCCAGTCAAATGCCGCAACATTTTAAAGCATCAATTTGATAGTGATTTTGTCTGTGTTTAAGAAAGCTATCAACATTATAATCCTGTAACACGTAACACGCATGTAATGACTGTACATGTTTTTCAAGGAAAAAATAGTGTACAGAATTTTGAAAACCGAGAACATTCTGCACTGTAAATTTGTAGCATTACAAATACAAGATAACATCATTAAAAATAATGTTCGAGAGGAAACAATTAATATAGTGTTCAGTTTAACATACAGTTCTATATGCCAAAACCAGCTAAAGACGATAAATGCCATTTTAAGAAGCACCCTAGTTTCATTTCATTTACAAGTTAGGTAGTAAACAAAAAAACTAAATATTCAAAAATTACATTTCTTATTGCATTCCTAGGCCTGTTATTTCGAGAGAAAAAACAATCAAATCTATTACATGCAAATAGGACTACGTTACTGTGATGTGAAATTGCTAAAGCAGAAGAAAGGACATGTTATACAAATATTGATTTCACATTTGATTTGCCCTATTAAGCTGAGCCTAGGAGCTAGTTACCTATAGAGTGTGACAACTCATTTCATCGCTTATTAGTTCCCCACAGGTTCCTGAGGGAGGGGGGGGGGGGGNTCCATCTGTCCATCCAGCCGTCTTTCCGTCCGTCCGAGAAGTTTGTCCGGGGCATATCTTCCATACGTTTACACCTGGAGAAACCAGTTTTGTTGTACAAGGACATCTTGGGATGGCGGAGTGCAAAGTGCAAGAAAAATGTCACTACAATTATTTGTCCAGGGCACATCTTTTATACTATTTCACCTGGTGTAACCAGATTTAGTGTACAATGACATCTTGGGATGGTGGAGTGCACAGTCCAAGAATTAGGTTACCGTCACCTATGACTTGACCTTTGACCTTTACTTTTGAAAATGTTTTTCTTGGGCATATCTTCTATACTATATCACATGGAGTATTCAGATTTGGTGTACGAGGACATCTTGGGATGGCAGTGTGCAAGAATTAGGTCACTATGAAGTATGACTTGACCTTTGACCTTTAATTTTCAAAAAGTTTGTCTGGGGCATATCTTCTATACTATTTCACCTGGAGTAACCTGGATAGTGGAGTACAAGATGTTGGTCATTATGACTCACTGTGACCTATGCTTCCTGGCATAAATAATCACCGGTGGGGGCCTATGAAAAGCATTGTAATACTTTGCCTTGTTGTTTTGAAAATGCAACACATTACTTTTTCAGCTAATATTTATAGGTTTCAGCGAGACTTTCCTTATTAATTACCATTATCTAGGGAGTTTGGAATTCAGTTTTATTCATCAAATCAGTCTCAATATGTCACACTGTATGACATTAAAAAAATAATCATAAATTGGAGAGTCTGGTGAAAATGACAGCTAAAGTAAAGGCTACAGACAGTTAAGTTATATTATGTATGCCCATCAAAACTTTGATTGGACGTATTATGGTTAAATATTGATTGATTTTAATGAAACTTGGTAAGCATGTACAATTTACAAAGACTGAGCAAGTTTAAAGCTGAGTAAAATCTGTGAATTATTAATTAGCATAATGTCCTCTGATTGGTTGGTTGGTTTAAGTTTTCTTTATTACAACCATGACAGGATTTTGATGAAACTTGTCAATATTTATGTTATTAAAAACAAAGACTAAATTTGAATTTTAGCAAAAACTGTACATAATTAATTAGCACCCTTAGTTTCCGCAAGCTAATTCGCTTAAATGTCATTCAAATTTAATCAAACTTTATAATCATGTACAATATACAAAGACCGTGGCTAACTCTGAAGTTCAGCCATATATGCATATAATTAATAAGCGTACTTATATTATGTCCCGATTGTTTTGGAACTTGGTCAATATTTTATTTAATAGAAAGGCGAAGGCTTTTGAAGTATTCATCGATGAGAAGCTTCAGGTTTCGTATTCCGTTTCAAACCTTCTGGTTTAAAATTGCCTTGTATGATATCACTGTCATCTACTAAAGGTCTACTCAGTTGGAGCATTTTTCATTCAGAAATATTTTATAAGTTCTCACCAGAGACATATAAAGCCATAGCAGTATATTCGTCTCTGTTCTCACAACATACTAGGCCCTCTCCCGACAGCATGCATGTATACTATACACTAAGTTTGATAACCCGTGATGGTGACACATTTGTAAAACTGGAATTTATCTTAATCATTCTGAAGTTTAAAAAATAAAACTGACAGTCTGGCCGAATCCTTAAAAACTCTCTGGTTATGAATTGACATTTAACAAGACTGCGTATTTAACCGGAGAGACAAAAATTGAATGGTTAACCACGGAATTAGATTAGTCTATCTAAGTCCGTGGGTTAACCGATAGTTTCGTCTTTTGCTATATTATTTGATATTGCAATAAAGGACGAAGCACATTTTCTGACTGACTGACTGACATAAGCTTTCATCAAAAGATCAATATCCACAAACATTCTTTTGATCTTATAGCCTAAATATTTTGTCCGCATTTTAAATTGTGAAAGCTGCGCTGGCAAAATTTAAAGTGAGTATCGAACTATACACTTCGATTGTTTCAGCTTAAATTGATACGTATTGATATGTGCTGTATAGTGCACAAGCTTATATTGATACGTTTTATTTGCCAGCACCTCATCATGAAAAGACTTTATGACTTTATGACAAAATTTGAAATTAAGTTTGAAATTTTGACTAAGCTAAGATCAACATCTTGAGTGGATCATAAAACGTGCTAAGCAAAATCTTAGCTGAGACTGAACTTAGGTCAAAAATAATCGTTGTCAAAGAAACGCGCGCGCCGAATTGTGTATTTACGGTATTTATAGGAACTCTTCAACGCGGGAAACCACGTTGTTGTCGGTACACATAAAACAAGATGGATAAGAGAAAGACTACAGAGTATATTGGGCGAATTTAACTGGATTACGGATTACGAAGTTGTTTTCGGAGCAAGAAATGGTCAACAATTAAAGCCTGCTGTTCCAAAGGCTGGATGACACAGTCGAAAAAGAATCAGAAGAAAAAAGTGAAAAAAATCTAATAACGTACTCTCGGGCGCGCAAAAACCTCCAAGGACACTCTGAGGACACTCATTACTCCGAGGACACTCATTAGGGTGACCCGCCATCATATGCCACAAGGCCGTTTATTTTTTTATATAGTAATATGGTGGAGGTCATTTTAAAGCGTTGTTCAAGGGATTGCCAGTTCAGGGTTTGGAGCATTTCTGTAACGCTACTGGTGTAGTTATAGCGCCCAAGGGTGTACCTGGCGGCTTTTCTCTGCACCATTTCAACCTTATGGGTAAGATTTGCCTGCCATGGATCCCAGATGGGGCTACATTATTCAATGTGTGGGCGGACATAAGTTTTATATGCTAACTATTTTGTTTTTACATTGGTGGTTTTAATGTTTCTCCGAATGAACCTTAGGGATGAATTGACCTTGTTGGTAATGTCGTTGATGTGGGTGTTCCATGAAACGTTTTTAGTGATAGTTAAGTCCAGGTTTTTAGCCGAATCTGTTTGCTTTAGAATTTGTACATGGAAAATGTACTTACACTTTGTGTGTCAGTCTTTTCTTTGAGATGTGTAGAATTTCACATTTATCAGGGTTGGAGGACATTAACCAAGTTTGTTCCCACTTTTCCAGAAAATTTAAGTCGTTTTGTAGTGATTCTGCATCAGAGTCGGATAAAACAGTTACATAGACAATAGTGTCGTCTGCAAACAGTCTAACTTGGCTTGTGATAGAGTCTGGTATATCATTTATATAGATTAGGAAAAGGCAGGGCCCCATGACTGAGCCTTGGGGGACTCCAAAGCGGACAGGACAGGACGAAGATTTGGTGTTACTTACAGCAACTTTCTAACTACGGTCAAGGAAAAAATTTTGGACCCAAGCAACGATTTTGCTGTGAATGCCAAAACGAATGAGTTTTAGAATGAGTCGGGCATGGTCGACTTTGTTGAACGCCTTTGTTTGATGACTTAGATTATTATAGATGTCTGAGGTAAAAGCAAGAAGTTGTGTTTCACAGTTACGTTTCATAAATGTTTACCGAAACATGTCATTACATGTACATCATACATGTAAATTTCTTTATGATTAAAGAAGACTATGATAAAAGGTATTTTTTTATAAACAGAGGTTAATATTTGCTTGTTTTAGACACTCTAGATAACAAGTTAGGAATTATTTCAAGAGTGAGGGATATGGTTCATACGATTCGTCCTCTCCCCCCTCCTTATTTTGAGTTACAAATTTTGGTGTATAACCATAATTATATTATAAATATTGAGATAAGATACAAGTTGCAGGTAAAACATTGAAATTGACCCTTCCAAATTTCTTTTAATTTTACAAAGAAAGGCCCATCTAAGTTTTGATAATTCGTATTTCTTATATCATAGTTTAAGGAAATTAATGAAAATAACACATAGCCATCACTTTCGGATAATATTGATGTTTCATTTAGTGATGAGATGAAGTCATGAGTCAATGGCGAGGTCAAAATGATCTTTTTACATTTGAGATATATATTTAATTGAAATTGTCAAAAAAAAGTTAAACTTGCTTCTATATCTCATATAATTTTCATGAATTTCACGGTCAATATATGAATGCCAGTATCATACAAACTTATCCTCAACCATACCATTTTTACACAAAAATATTATTTTTGTATTTTCAGTTCATATTTCAACTAAAATTGTCCCAGTGTTACCAGTCTGCCATCATATTTGAGGCCACATTGCAGCAACAGATTCACCAGACGTGTAGGACATCAAAGAGGAAGCAGTCATAATCTCATCTCGGAGTGTGTCAAACAAGTCAACATTTAACTACATCTCCTAAATTCCTTCAAATAGAACACTCTTCTATGGTTACTAAGCTGTGATATATACTCAGCAAATAATGAAAGGTTAACATGTTACCTTGCAGAACACCAGAATAATATTGATTATAATTTGTCGTTTTAGTGACTAGTGAGTTTGGTAAGAATATCTTCACTGATGAGCAGTATTTAAAATTATATAACTGGATAGTTTAAAGCGCAGTATTCCCTCTCAAAACCCTTTTCAGATGAAAATTCACGAGATTTTTGCTTACCTCTGTTATCCATCTGTCTGGTGTCAACGTTTTACTTTAAACAACTTCTTCTCAACAACCAAAAGGCCCAGGATGTTGATATTTTGGTGGTGAAATGTTGAGATGAATGATCTTGACTTATATTCAAGGTTACAAAAAACAGGAGGCATAGGGTGGGGATATTAAGCAATTAACATGCTAGAACGAGGGGATATGATGTATGTGGAATTGAATGACATTGACTAGCCTTCAGGGCCACAGGTCAAATGTGTAAAATCTTTTAAAATAAATGACTGATTCTGAATATCAAGAAATCTTGGGTGATGATATTAAGCCAATAACATACTGGGATGAAGGGTTATAAAATATATTCAAATGAACTTAGGGTGATTGCATTTAGGCACTTACATGCTATGATAATGGGCTGTCTAGTTTATTCAAATGAATGATCTTGACGCAATTTCAGGACCATTTAAATTTGTTAAAACATTTTATTGACTTTTACGTAAAAGAAGAGGCTGGCTAAAGTTCATGACATTTTGTGATGTAAGTTAAAGGTTTAAATCAATATTATGTGTTTGAAGTGAATAAATGGCTATAACAACCATCTTAGTTCAGATTAAAAACAAAATGTTCAAATCTTCCAACAAAGATTCACAAAGATAAAAAAAAAAGGGGGGTAGAGCAATAAGATCTGCCAAAAAGCCCCCAAACAAGCATAGTCTGATTTGACTTTCTTTTTGATAAACATTTGTTTTTTTCCAAAAGCTTGAAAAATTCAAAATAAAATTCCAGGTGAGCTATCAAGGACCCTTGAACCTCTTGTTTGTGAATAAAGCGAATAAATTTCTTGGCAAATTATGTATTTAACCAGTAGGTAGACTAATTGAGTTATTCAAAGTGACTATGTAAATTGTATTTAAGCATTCATGTTTTGATATTTTATATTTTTTTACTATTCCTTATGTATATATAAATCTTTAGTCACATTGTTATGGAATATTTTTGATCACATTTCCTAACAAATGTGAAATCTTTCTATATAAAAATCATACCATAAGGATATCGCATATTGTTATTTGAGTTGTTTCAGACTCTAAGCCATAATTTATTTTTTTATGGGAAAGGAAACCTACATTAGATACTATTCAATTATAGCCTTTGGTTGAAGTCGACGCCTGGATTTATTGACCTTAGAAAAGATATATTAACCGAGGATGCAGTGGGTTCGTTTGGAGACACGTCATAATTCAATGTTTAGAAACACCCAGTCCTTCAACAAAAATCACACGCTCCAAGTCAATATTGTTTTTATCGGTGGACACGTGATGCACTTCTGGCCAATCACTTGTCGGGGAACATTATGAAAGAAAGAATTACAACTGATTTCACCTGTATATCAATATCATTATTACTAAAAATGTTCTGAAAATCTGTTTGAAATATATGGTGATTTCTTATTTTGAGTGATTCCATGATGATGTTCAGTTGTTATTTACATGTATTACTATAGTGCCATATTTAGCCAATAAAATGTTGAATTATCCTCTCAAATTATGTTAATTTTCTATTCAATTAAAGAGTTCCACATTGTTTATCATGTTTATCTAGCTGCATTTATTGATATTCATGTTTAACAAAAAGGCAATGAGCTGGTATGAGTTTTTCTTTTTAAAATTTCTTTATTGAGATAAAGAACAATATATGTTGAGGAGTTGTGGAAATTCTTAGTACCATATGTTTTTATGACACTGTCAACTGATTCACACTATAAAGCCGACATTAGCAACAGTTTCATTTTCTTGTTGAGCGCTATTCCTTCAGTGCCTTTTACTTTAACACCCGATATCTTTCCAAAATTCCTTTCAAAAGTCTTGGTCAAATCATTCTTGGATTGAAACTTAGCTGCTTATTTTGGTATTCTTCTTATTACAATAACAATAATAACCATCCCTATAGAAGTACGTGTTTTGGTGTAAATAATAATAAGTTTTAGAATATCCCGATGATACATGTACGCCTTTTGATCAAGCTTGCTGAGGCTGGTATTACATAGAAATTATAATTATAGAAATATACTTGTTGCTTAAAAGAATATTTTCTCAGATATCCATGGAATAGTGTGCTATGATATATCTGGAAAGATTATGCATATCTATGAGATCATGGTTGTTCTTGGACTATCAGCCTTTTTCATACATCTCGCGTTTCGTTTCGCCTACTTTCAATCCACTCCGTTCCTGTGAGAAAAGCATGTTTCGTTCCGTTCTATTCGCATTTCTTTCCAAACAGTAAAACTATTTTCGTTCCGTTCCGTTAAGGCCTTGTTTCATTCCGTTTTCATTCCGTTCTCGTTGCGTTTTCATTGTGTTTTCATTCCATTCCGTTTGTCAACTGAAACGCTGACACTCCTGTAACATATAAGGATTGAACGGCATTTGTTTCATTATCATGTATGAACGCCAATCAGTTACACGCATGTTTGCCTTCATACCGGCATGTTCATTGGAAATATGCCGTTCAAACTTTACTTTCATGTTCTAATGTTTATATATTATTGACGTAAACAAAGATGTTCCTTATATTTTCGATATTGATATGTCTGTGTTGTTATTACAAACGAGATTCCTGGAACAGCCTAACGTCGCCAAAATGTTTGCTTCTAACTGTTGTCTCAAGTTAATCGTGGCAGAAGGAGGAACTTCAAATTGGCACTAATCTGATGGCGTTCATAGCGCTATAGACGCTATTTCTTATAGTACTGTTGATATAGGAACTTGCAGTTGAAATGAAAATATATCTACCTAACATGTCCAGGAATAAAAATAAGATATGGAAAGTAAGGATTACAGATAGGTTCGCATTTGTATGCTGATATACGTATTATACAACTTGATCAAGCTCATATATATTCTCAATCGTTCGTTACGATCAGCTTGGATTCGCTTAGGAATTTGAAAATGTAGTTAAACAATGGAAGGAATACAGATTGGTTAAAATACAGACATAAGACAATTTGGACAAACGCATATATTCTCGAAACAAACAAGTAAGTCTCATTTTAAACGTTCAGGGAATTGTTTCTCAATATATATTGTTAAATGTATCTATTCTTTGCTTTGGCTTTTGATTTATCTGAAGTTTGACTAAGTGTATTTTAATGTCTTTAACAGATATTCCTACTGTGGTCGGGAAATTGGGTACGAATAAAGAAGACACAACTACGGAAATATTTGCTTCCTTCTATTCTTATCCAAGCTACAGAGACATCAGGTGGTTTAAAGAAGGCACAGAGATATCCTGGGATTCGTCAAAATACCGCATCGCTAACGAGGATATCGACATTGAGATCTCGTCCAATGGAGAAACTATCGTGAGAACAGGAACCCAAACGAGGCTGAATATGACATCATTAAACAACAATGAATATGGACTTTATACCGTACAGATATACAATGATGTTGGCATGACGGAGCGATCGATAACACTGGATGGTAGGCCTTACTTATATTTTGTCGTCATCAGTCTATAAAAGCCCGAACATTACATAGCTATCTCTTTAGATTTGTTTAAGTTGTCGCAAAAATTACTGAATGGTAATCTTTTTAATGGTTGTTGTTTCGAGGTAAAAGGAAACACTTAATGACTACTTCGTCCTTTTAGGACAGTAAATATGAACTTTGCTATTAATATTTATTCATGGATAAAAGGCAAAGTAAAATGAATACAAGACACATATAAAATAATACATGACCTAGATAAGATGCGAGATACTTTTAGGTAAGAAGTATTATCATTAGATGAGTTGAAAAGCTTACACGAATCGAATTTAAAAAAGTGTTATAGCTGTTTAGGGAATATAAAAAGCATATATACATCATAGCACTAATGCATGGATATGATACATAAGATGAGCATTACATACCATAGAGAGGATAATATAAGATGATCACTACCTATCATCGAGAGGATAATTTCCGCTGAGAACTACATATCATAGAGAGGATTATATAAGGTGATCACTACCTATCATAGAGAGGATTATATAAGTGGGCACTACATACCATAGAGAGGATAATATAAGATGATCACTACCTATCATAGAGAGGATAATTTAAGATGAGAACTACATATCATAGAGAGGATTATATAAGGTGATCACTACCTATCATAGAGAGGATAATTTAAGATGAGCACTACTTATCATAGAGAGGATAATTTAAGATGAGCAGTACATATCATAGACAATATAATATAAGATGAACACTACATATCACAGAGAGGATAATAATAAGTGAGCATTACATAACATAAAGAGGATAATAATAAGTGAGCATTACATAACATAAAGAGGATAATATACGACGAGCACTACATATCATGGAGGAGATAATATACGATGAGCACAACATATCATAGACAGATAAAAAGATTAGCACTCCATATTATAGATGGGATAATATAATATGAGCACTACATATCATAGAGAGGATTATATAAGATGAGCATTACATATCATATTGAGGATAATATAAGATGAGAACTACATATCATAGAGAGGATAATATAAGATGAGCATTACATATCACAGATAGGACAATATAAGATGAGCATTTCATATCATAGAGAGGATAATATAAGATGAGCACTTCATATCATAGACAGGATAATATTAGATTTGCACTAGATATCACATTAAGGATAATAAAAGATGAGCACATCATATCATAGAGAGGATTATATAAGATGAGGACTACATATCATAGTGAGGATAATATAAGATGAGCACTACATATCATAGAGAGGATTATATAAGATGAGGACTACATATCATAGTGAGGATAATATAAGATGAGCACTACATATCATAGACAAGATAATATAAGATGGGCACTACTTATCATAGAGAGTATAATATAAGATGAGCATTACATATCATAGAGAGGATCATATAAGATGGGCATTACTTATCATAGAGAGTATAATATAAGATGAGCACTACATATCATAGACAAGATAATATAAG